CCCTAATGGACGGCGCTTCTTGGCCCTCGCTCAACAAGGTACGTATAACGCGGAATGTTGGTGAGTGCCGGATGTTACTAACCCAATTTGACAGAGCTTTTGAAGATCAAGGGTTATCGTGCTCCCAGAGACAAGGTCATATGTGTTTTGAACTGCTGCAAAGTGATATTTGGTATGGAATCAGCAGTGCGTTCGGGTCCTATCTCCTCCCAAGCTGACAATCAATAGGTTTACTCCGGAACGCGCCAAATGGCGATACATCTGCAGATTCGTTCGTCCCACTCCTAATTTATGTCGTCTTGAAGGCAAACCCAGAACATCTAGTTTCAAATATACAATATATTCTCCGTTTCCGGAACCAGGAAAAACTGGCTGGCGAGGCTGGTTACTATTTATCTTCATTGGTATGTTCGGATGGTATATCCTCATTTTGCAATTGCTACTAACTCCCCTTAGTCTGGTGCTATCCAGTTCATCGAAACACTTGATCGAACTAGTCTTACTATTAGCGATGAAGAGTTTGAACGAAACGTTGAGGCGGCTGTATCCGCAATAGCAGAGCGGAGCGAAGAGGCTGCAGGCCCACCCCTCCTGCAGCCAGAAAAATCAACCCTAAGTGAACCCGAAGTAACACCACGGAATTCTACAGAAGGGGAGTCATACGCGAAACGAAAAGATTCCTATCAGTTTGGTAGCAGTGAAGACAATGTAGCGGTGGCAGGACTATTGCGTACAATCCAAAAACCTCTTTCAACTATTGGCCGAATATTCTCTGAGGAATCCCCACATCCAGTCACTCAACAACGAACGGCCCCACAAAACCTTTTGAACACGCAACAAACAGATGAAGTGCGCCGTTCGACGGAGAGACAGCGTAGAAGAGAAGACATCACCCCACAGCAAATTAGCAAGCTCGATGCCCAAGAAGCTGCAGCTCGCCAGGCGAGCGCGGAGGCAGCGGAGGCGCGCCGGATACAGCGGGCAGAACATGTCAATGTAGTCGAGTAAGTAGAGATCCCTGTTCCTGTATCCTGCATCACGCTTCCTACTTCCTGCGTTAGCTAACCAGATTCAAAGGACTTTATCAGGAATGTTTCCAAATCTAGATAAGGATCTCATCGACGATGTCGTGAGGATGAAAGAAGGGAGGTGAGTTCGGATCAACCCCTTATTTGTCCTATCGTGGAGAACTGATATATATATTGTTTTGCTTTTAGAGTTGGCCTCGCTGTAGATGCTTGTCTTGCCCTAAGCGCGGAATAGATACCCCAGGAGTGAGATTTCAGTAACTTCATATGCTAATATTAAACGAATGCGACATACAAAGCCCTGTATTTTATTTCCATATTTACAACAGTGGACCAGCTAATTGATGCATTAAAGAGGGTTCATGTACTTGGCTGGTTTCGCGCAACAAAGAAATAGCGAGCGAGGGAATATGCATATGCTCATTCCAGTGTCCCATTTTGTTCCTGAACTTCAAGCCTTATTGATACCATAGACATTAAATACATCTTCACAATAATTGGTCCATGGATATCCGCCGTTTTCGTAAATTTTAAAATCATTGTAAAATTAACTTGAGGTTTCCCAACGGCAGTTGGGCTAATTCTCGTCGAACTCACCAGCTAACATTTCTATGCTCAAGAGGCCTGATGTCAGTCATTGAAGCTGGACGATGTATTTTCGTCCGAAAACCCAGAAAAGTCAATGTTGTTCCGCCCCGACCTGGGCTTATTATTGAATGCTAGTGAATCGTTCAGCCTACAAGAAGACTCGGGCTGTCTTTCAAGTTGCATCGGCATGACTAGGAAAATGAAGTCGCAGAATGGTTTGAATGCGAAGGAAGAATTGGCCGGGAGTGCAAGGAACGGCCGCGTTTCAGCAACATCATCTCCACCAATTCATCCCGAGGTGTTGAAGCCGCCGCCAGCACCACCCCTCAAGAACTCCAAGACAAAGACTCCTGAACAGTCAGCCTCCTCTCTGACAATATGCCGCAACAAGTATGCTGATTTCCTCGCTGAGTTGTAGTCCTTGTTTGCCGATTTCAATTCTCCCTGCGGCTCTGGCAAATCTGTCCGTTTACTAACTCTGC